TCAGCACTGGAGGCTCTCAACCAGATCGTGACGAATTCTCGCTCTGCGAGAAGACGTAGGGAATCGGATGTCTCCCGCACTCCTTCTTGGAGGTCCGTTAGGACCGTGGACACCAGGGATTCCAGAGAATCGAGAAGGCGCAGATACCGTCCGCGGCGCGAGGATGATCGCGACCGGAGGAGGGACGATGCTCGTGATCGTCGTGATGATGATTCACTAGATCGGGAGCGAGATCGAAGGCGAGATGATCGCAGGAGATCCGAAAGGGATCGTGACAGGGACCGCGCGCGGGGCGGACATGACCGGAGGAGACGTGATGATAGCCGATAGGCTGAGTCACGAGGATTGCGGCCGGTAGGCTTGCGTCCATTCTCCAATGGTCGGCGCGGTGCGGAGGTGGTGATGTTCCTCCCGGACCGCTGAGGCGCGGAGGTCATGTCTCTCCCGTACCGCTGCTGGGCTGCTGGTCGTGTTCATCAGGAAGCAGTGTGAGTGAGGGGGAGAGCAAACTGATGGGGGGTTACTCCCGGGTTTGCGGAATTCAAGCATTTTTCAGGTACGCATGGTCAGGAGTACCTCTTGCCGGTAGGCGAGGGTGCTAAATGGACATACGTTATCTTCTTTATTTTCATGGCTTCTGATAAGAATTAAACTTCTTGCATTGTTGATGCAAACAGTTGTGGCCTAGTGCCGTCACGTGGACTTTTCCACAAGGTATGTTGGACAGCGTTACCCCGATTAATTCGGGGTGGTGGCGGGAATTTAATGCCCGGGATGTCGCGCAACTGCCTTTGTGGGTTTGCTCCACCGCTGACGGCGGTAGTGTCCAGCTGTTTGCGGACGCATGCGAGCAGTTAAATCCTATCAGTAAATGGCACGCTCCACCCGTCATATGACGGGCTCCTCGTGAGGGGGGTGTGATTAGCCATGATTCATTTCATCAACAGGGATGTCGCGGTAGTGACTGACCTGTGATGTTTGGCTCAAGATTTTGGGTTCCGTCGCGCCTCGAATGGGCGTCGCCGAACCCCTGCGTCGACCGACGGCATCTTTGGGGAGAAAGAGACCTCGGGCCGCCGCCAGGTTGGTAGGGACCAGTCGTGCGGCCTGTTGTCGACCAAGGTTGCGGGTTAACCCTTTTTCTTGTTTGGTTTGTTTTCCTTTGGTTGTTGTTCTCTGGTGTGTGGGAAACCCTGATCTTTGGGACCGGGGATTGGTTTGCTTTTGGGGAACCTTTCTTTTGTGGCTTGTTTACCCCAACTTACCCATTGCCTGGGCACAGGCTCGTGCCCGAATCACATAAAGCTTAATTCAGGTGCGTTTGGTGACCCCTCTCCGGCTGCCTCGAGGCACCACACCCACCCTTGATCCACAGACCCTTGAAAAACTGGCCTCAGTTGGCTGGTCTACAGGCTTCACACTGAACTGGAAAGGGAGACTGGCTTAGTGGGGCATGTAGCTCCCCTGCTAGAAACCGTTTGTCGTTAATTTGCAGTTGGCACGGAAACGGCTCCCTGACAATTGCGCTGCCAGCACTGCCAAATTGAGCGTTCCCGTTCAGCCCAAATATTTTGGGGGGAGGTATGTTTGCGCCTGTGCCTGGCATTTGCGTTGTTGTTAGTGCCCTGTTTTTTTGTTTTTTTCTTTCTAAGGTACCCAGAGGTTGAACAAGCTAGTAGCATTCCTGGATTTTTGTGCTCAAGCACCGGGATGCTACACATGGTGCCAGCTGTGTTCCTTAGATGTGCCATCAGTACAAGCTGATGTGGAGAGCGCCATTCCAACCAGTCAGGTGCATTGTGGGCCTTGATGCAGCAGCAAGCCTGGCACTGACATCACGCGCCTTCTCGCCAGCCCCACGCGGTCCTCAGCGAGAGGAGTGGCTAAGAGCTCGCTTGAAGCATTTGAAGGAGCATGCTAGCAGGATGCAGGGTGAGTGTATGTCTGACCAATACGAGCACAGCGGGAAGAAGCTGCTTTGGCGCTGCAGCCACGGTCACACTTGGCTTGCCAGCGCTCACTCAATTCTGAACGCAAGCACGTGGTGCCCAACGTGCGCTGGTAAATCACCTATTGGCCTTGCCCGCTTGAAGGAGCACGCAGCAAGAAAGGGTGGTGTATGTCTGGCAGAAGCATACAAGAACGCCACCACAAAGCTGCGATGGAAATGCCAAAAAGGCCATACGTGGATGGCCCGAGCAGCGTCTATTTTGCATGCCGGAAGTTGGTGCCCGCACTGTGCAGGAAACGCCCTGGTGGGCTTGTATCGCTTGCAGCACCATGCCGGCCAATTGGGTGGCAGGTGCTTGGCGACTGTTTACAAGAATGTTGGGAGCAAAGTAACGTGGCAATGCAGGCTTGGACACACGTGGGAAGCCACCCCAAGATGTGTTGTTCACGGAGGCACTTGGTGTCCGGTTTGTGCCCGCAGCCAGTGGCGAACAGAATCTGAGGTGAGACAGCTCTTCGAGAGTATTTTTTGCCCGCACAAATTCCCGTCGAGCTTTCCCGCATTTCTGGCAGGCCTGGAGCTGGACGGTTACTCTGTGGCGTTAAATCTTGCTTTCGAATATCATGGCGAGCAACATTTCAATCCAGACAACTACTTTAATTCATTGGATCCTGACCGATTTTCCAAACAGCGTGAGAGAGATGCACGGAAGCTACAATTGTGCAAGAGATTTGGTGTGCGTCTTCTGGTGGTTCCATATTTCATTCGTGACAAAAGGAACTTTGTCCTTTTGTCATTGCTGCACTGGTTCCGCATGTCTGAGGTGAACCGCACCGCTTTGCCCGGCGCTGGTGTCAGTCACTCTTTGAATGTGGCGGCGTTCTCAGATGGCTGTGGCGGAAAATAGCGCGCAGGTCGGCGGGTCTTTGGACTTTGGACCCAGAAAGTTTGGCCCACCTAATGCTGTGTAGCTAAAGGCCTTCCTAGAGCTATCAACCCCAGCATCGGCCTTCCTTTGATGCCAAAAGCTTGTGGCGTGCAGTCGATTGGCAAAGGTGTTTTTAAGCTTTTGGCCCGTTGTAGAATCTCCAAGTTAATTTTTGCCTCTTTGCGCAATAAACCGCAATCATAGTGCAGTGATGATCCAGTTTGCTGGCTTTGTATTTTTGTCAAGTCCATTTTCTTACTCCAAGAAAAACTCGTTTTCCTTGTCTTGGATTGTCCCCTTTTTGTCTTGTCTGTTTCGTTGTTGGTTTGTCTGTTTTGTTTTGACCGGGGCGTAGGTTGCGTTTTTTGACCTAGACGCTGGCTGCGCCGTTGCCAAACGCTGCCGACAAAGCCGGCCCGCAATTTTTTTGGCTTCGCTAAACAAAAACATGATGCACCGCTCTGGCCCAAAAAGGGCCGTCTTCAAGGTGCGTTTCTGGACCCTTTTCGCGCATTTTCGTGTTGCAAAACAGGGTCGCCGAGTCCTTGTGAGGAAAGGTCAGGCGTGCGCAACTGTTTGGGTCCAATTCGCTTTCATTACCCTTGACTCAAGCTCCTAGCTGCTGCTTGTGCTTTTTTTGAGTTTGTGCAATTTTTGGGTGGTTGTAACGGGACCGCAAAGCGGAGACCACCAATTGGGGGCAAGACACCCAAACCGGCCCCCGTGGAAAGCAATGCCAGGGGTGCTCCAAGTCTTCAGCCGGCACTTCCGAGGATGTGCTTTAAATGTAACTGTGTTTGATCCATGCTGCTCGTGATAGCTTTTGCAAAGGGGGTTGCGAAGATGATTCAGTTTGATTCCTAACATACCAGGGAGGGGGACGAAGCCACATTGGAAAGCTGTCAGGTGGCCTATTCTGCCTGCCTTTGATTTAGATGTGTCTGCAAGTTTTGGTTCACTTTGGGACGTTGTCCCTTTCTTCACTACTTCAAGTACTGAACCTGCTGCCAAAGGGCTGGCTATCCTGTGGCTTACTTTTGAAGGACAACGTGTTGGAGCTCGCTTCCGCTGGTTCCGGAGAGGCATCATCTTTCTTGTTGCTGTTTCCGGGTTTACTTGGGACTTTCGGCTGATGCCAGACCTAGCCTTGCCTTCCAGGGATCGGGGGTTTCCCGTAGTCCCAAGGATGTCATACTTGTTTTGCCTCAGTTGGCTTGTCTGGCCTGGTGTGGCTTCAAACGTGTGTGACATTGGCACTGTCAAGGAGGGTTTTCTACCTTTGCGATCTCATGTTCCTAGAGCCCCAGAAGCGACTGCGCTTTCATACTTTTTGGCAATACCATTTTATTAGGTTGCAAAACAAACGACTTGTTTGGCAAATCCACTCAGACAGTGAGGAGCTTATTCCAGCAAGGACGTCATTGTTGAACATGTGGTTCCCCATGTTTGGTCCATTGATCCTGACCGAAAGGTTCACTTTCTGCTACCCTGAGCCTACACCATATTTGCAAAGAATTCGTTGGGAGCACATACTTGACGGATGGAGGTTTTCCGGCTTCCGCCCCTTGACGGAACCCAAATCGGGCAATGCACCCTGAAGAAGGTTCGTGGTTTGAATTGATCTTTTTCTTGAAGCAGTTGAGGGGGACACCCTGCTGTTCAGCGGCAACTGTCCAGTCCTTGCTGGCTGCTTTGTGCTACCCTTTGTCCATTCCCAGTCAATATGTTACCCAGTGTGGCTTCCTTGTGACGTAGTAATCACCAGCCTAGGCCTATGTTGAGTTTTAGTGCCAAGAGATTCTTCTTTCCAGGTGCGCTTGATCTAAGGTTCGTCACGCTCAGCCTTGGCTTAATTTAGTTGAATTCGGGACCCGGGCGCGGGGCTACCTTGAAACAAAAGACAGGCACTGGCACACAGTTGCGGAAGACTTTGTTGTGATCCAAGGGAATTCCCTCGAATGAACGTGGCTATGTTCTCATTGGCGCAGCCTACTTTCCCTTTCCGCGGCTGTTCAAATAACCAACTGCCTGTCAAAAAGATATAAAAAGATGACAGCTTGCGTAATGCTTTTCCAGCTAAAAGCGCCCTTGGTTTTTGCAGCTTCAGCTTTTCTTCGCACCGAAAAGGTCCAAACGGCGCTCCGGCAACCCGAGAGTCGGCGTTTCAGCATGGAGCGCTTGCTGTGCTTCCGGTCCTTTGCCGAGCGCTTGCGGCGCCTCGGGGATGAGTTCGACCAAGAGGCGGAGTTGCGGAAAGGGGAGTGAGCATGGATGTCAGACCCAGACCCATTGCACAATATATACATATATATCTACACATTGACTTCAACAAATATATATATATATATATATAATACACATATATACGGGTGTATATATATATATATGTACATGTGTATTTAGTTGCCACAATGCAAGCATCTGCTCCTTTCACCGCAGGTACTACGAAGTGACCACCCGACAAATTGGCGCCCAAAACTCGGCCTCTCGCATCTCGCAGGTGCGCCAAGCCTTGGAGGCCCGCTCGCCGATCGAGCGATCGGAACCCGATGGGTGTTTGAAGCACCGGGGAAGGGGTTCCTGGGTTCTTGTGGGTTCGGATGTTTCTGGTGTTTGTGGGTTCCGGTCTTTCTTCCTGTGCTAATGGGTTCCTGCTTTTCGCATCTGATTTGGGAAGGAGCGAGGATGCTGGAGAGGATGCTGGCGAGAGAGAGAGAGAGAGAGAGAAAGAGAGAGAGAGCCAGGAAGAAAGGAGTTCCCAAAAAAATGTTTTCCAAAAGGGGCAGGTAATCACTTCTATATTGGGAAGGTGTTTTTCTCGAAAAGTTTGAAGGGCAAAGCAAAAGAGCGCCAAGCATTCGGGGGGGGCCTGCCCATTTAAGCAAGCCCGCCGCAATCTGGAAACGGGATTATCCGGGGCAAAAGCCTGAAGTACAGTCTAACATGGTCTGCAAACAGCAGAATGTGTCCAACCGCTCCCAAGGAACATGTGCCAACACAGATTTGGCACCTGACACGCCTGGTTCAGTGACTTTGGTAGGTGTTTGTGACACGATTTGTTGTGGGTCAAGCGGCAAACTTGGTTTGTTGCAATTGTCCAATCAATCGCCTTCTCTTGCATCCCCACCCCCTTCAAAATGGGATTGGGGGAGGGGGGTGACCCCTGAAATTCCATTTAGGGTTCCATTTTCCCTTTTGTGGGGAAGACTGACCCCATCTGACCCCCCTCCCCCTTAAGGCAGGGGAGATTCTCTTGCAATGGCCTCATCCCCCATGGCCTAGCGAAACATCTCCGAAGACACGTGCGCACGAACTACGTTTCAAGGGCTTCCGTGAAACTTCGTGGCGATGCGACATGGGCCAGGGGTTTGCCTCAAATGAGCAAGCTTCCAAAAAGGATTCAAGTTGGTCTCCGGTACCAGCCACACCAGAAAAGGGCACGCCAGAAGAGGAATATGCCAAAGAGAACTTCTGACCATCGGACTTTTCGGTTTGCTGGGCCTCCAAGCATCCCCACCCCCTCAAAAATGGAATTAAGGGAGGGACCCCTGGAATTCCATGTGTGGTTTCATTTTCCCTTTTATGGGGAAGACTAGATAAATGGAATTGGAGACCCCACCCCCCCTTCCCAAGGTAGGGTGGATCTCCAAGCGAAGCTACTAACTTTCGGGGAACCAACCCCGGAGCCACGGATTTTCGCGCCAGGCGGCGCTGCAACGCGGGGCCTCCGAGGTGAAGCTCCTGCGGGAAGAGGCGGGCTCGCTCACCTCGAGTCGCTCGGGGCTCGTGTCCAAAATGGGGACCTTCTTTTGGACGGTTTTAAAGCGAATCCAAAAGGGAAGCACCTACATTGATTCATGGGGGGTGGTCCCACAAGTTTTGAGAAACACCCATGTGCACAACCTAGGTCCCCTTCTAGGTCCCCCAGCTAGGTGCCCTTCTCTGCCGGTTCTTGTTTGGTTGGGGGAGGGTTCAACTACGAAAATAGACTACAGAAAAAAAAAATCAGGTACCCTTATTCTAGCCCTCTACTGGAGGACCTAGTGTCTACATAGGCTGGATCATGACACCCCAAGCGCCTTGCTCGCATCAAGGCTGAGTTTGTAACGTCCGGAAAAAGAACCCCTTGTATGAACCCTTAGTTTGTCTTTTTTCTAAACCCTGGATTCTGCCTCAATTATGGGAAATCAGACCCCAAAGGGTCCAAAATGGCCATGGGTTCTTACATAGACCTATACCATCAGCCTTTGACATTGGCTTTCTGGCATTTTTGTCTTTGCTCCAGAGATCATGGCTGCGCCTGAGTCGAAGGGAAGAAATCGCCCCCCTGGAACGCCAGATCATGACCCGTGCACGATAGCAGCATACTTTTGGGTTTGGAAAGGCGTCACAGTCACCTCCCTGAGGTCAGGATTTCGTCCATCCACGGTACAATCAAAAGGGCCCGTGGCGCAATGGCAGCGCACCCCACAACTTATACCGCCAGTAGTGTTGACAAGTTGACTGAGGGGAGGTCGTGGGTTGCGGTTGAAGCTCTAATTTGCCGTGAATTACTGGCTTCACTATGGCAGGCCCACGCACAAACTCCTTCATCGACACACCACCAACCCTCACCCGGCGGATCTTGGATACAAGGGAAACCCTTCGCCGTTTTTCTAGTATACAGCTCTTAAAGGGTTCTTTTGGTTATTTTCAAATCCACGGAGAAAGTCACTGTTGCTACTGGGGTGAAATCATGACCATCATTTGTATGGGGTGTTTGTTGTACCATTTTTAGGAATCCTGCAAAAAAGAGAGCGGAACGCTTTAGCCTGCTCTGTTGAATGGGCATTCGAGTTGACCTCTGTTTAAATAAGTTGTGTTTAAATGTTAATTGAGTTGTAAAGAAACTCTGTTGGAAAGAACATCCAGTGCAAATTGTAACTCAGAATAGAGTAATGGTGCCAACTGATTAGTAAACCCCCCCCCCCCCCTTCAAGGTCGACAAGGTTTGGGAGGGGCAACATTTTGGGGCTCTTTTAGGGGACCCCCCCTAATAATTTCTTGAGGGGGAATGTTTGGGGCAAGTCTGCTGGAGCTGTTTAAAGGGGAGCCCTTTTCAAAAGCACAGAAGCACCATTGTTTTTGTGGGCAAGGGGCTGGGAACACCCTGATTAATCAGGGGGGGTTTTGGTTATTATGGGGGGGCTGGCCCTTGAAGGGGGGTGTCCTTTGTGACCTTGAAAAACATGTTTTTTGAAACAAGGACATGTAAAGAAATCTATGGTTTGGTGGCCCTGTTTTTTTGCAGAAACCAGGAATGTTTGGGGCAAGTCTGCTGGAGTTGTTTAAAGGGGAGCCCTTTTCAAAAGCACAGAAGCACCATTGTTTTTGTGGGCAAGGGGCTGGGAACACCCTGATTAATCAGGGGGGGTTTTGGTTATTATGGGGGGGCTGGCCCTTGAAGGGGGGTGTCCTTTGTGACCTTGAAAAACATGTTTTTTGAAACAAGGACATGTAAAGAAATCTATGGTTTGGTGGCCCTGTTTTTTTGCAGAAACCAGGAATGTTTGGGGCAAGTCTGCTGGAGTTGTTTAAAGGGGAGCCCTTTTCAAAAGCACAGAAGCACCATTGTTTTTGTGGGCAAGGGGCTGGGAACACCCTGATTAATCAGGGGGGGTTTTGGTTATTATGGGGGGGCTGGCCCTTGAAGGGGGGTGTCCTTTGTGACCTTGAAAACATGTTTTTTGAAACAAGGACATGTAAAGAAATCTATGGTTTGGTGGCCCTGTTTTTTTGCTGAGAGAAAAATAGTTGCTGCTTTGTTTGCTCGCTTTTTTTGGGCAAGGTGTGGGGCGGGGGGACCTTTAATCGGGGGGGGTTTTGGGGAGAGCTCAAAAATTATTGGGTAGGGTTTTTTGGGAGAATCTTGCTGGCCCTTTACTTTAGTGTTGGTTGGAACCTGGGGGGGAAAAGGGGAAACCTTTAATCGGGGGGGGTTTACTAATCGTCTGCTACCATTAATTCAACAATCAGTTCTAGTCTGAAATAGAAAAGGGGTTGGAGGGTCAAACTGAGGTCCTTTGGTGCTAGATACTAGCCCATAATTTCGACTTTCTCCAGAGGGCCCCACTGTTTAGCACGCAGCTCATGATGGTCATGAATCTCATTGCAACATGATCGAACAGATTCCTGACATGGATCCTTCTGTCGCACCTGCCCATCAAAGGGTCAGGAAACAGTGCAAAGCGGCTAGGAGACAGAAATGACTGCCATGGACCAAAAAAAGCTGCCCAAAATCCACCAAAAGGCTATGGAACAGAAATGACTGCCATGGACCGAACAGCTGCCAAAATCCACCTATCCCCAAAGCTTTGGGGTTCCATGTTGATTTGGGGGAAGCCCCAAATCCTGAAAGTGCCACCAATCCCCAAAGCTTTAGGGTTCCACGTCGGTTTGCGGAAGGCGAGGTGCTGAAAGTTCCCAAAGCTTCTCGCGAGGTGGACTGGCTGCAGAGCCAGTTGGCCGCTGAGCGCCAGCAAAGCACTGCGAGGTGAAGTCGGGGTCCGGGGGAGTTCGGAGGGGAAGTGCTGTTTTCGCCTAAGCTGTGAATCCGGAGCTTTCATCATGTCCCTTTGCTTCTTCTTCTTTTTTCCTGGAGGGGTTCCCCTGTAAGAAGAACACATCAAGAAGTGCCGAGTTTGACTTGGGGAATCTAAAGGGTGATTCTCCTTGACGTGGATTTCACCCATTTTTGGAGCATTCCAGCATCAAAATGGACTTCAACCCGAGCCACGATGAAACCAACGGTAGATGACCCAGTTCCTTGGATGTCACTTTTGCCCTTCCGATCCCCCATCGGGACCAGGTATGGTCAACCCAGGGTGTCCCTTTCCTGTTCAGCAGGGAACAGTCCCAAGTCCCAACCATCAAGAAGTGCCGATATCTGCTCTAGTTGATTCCTGACATGGTTTTACGTAGGCCTCTTCCCACCCCAGTCTGCTTTTGGGGATTTGAGTGATCCAACACTGGTCATGGAAAACCCCTAAAGGCAATGCAAATCGTATGGTTTTGCAGGCATACACCTTTTCCCAAAGGCGTTGGTACCAGGGACTGTTTATTAGCTGTTGGTGCACGGTAGATTTTGGGTGATTTGTTCAAGCCCCTTGCGAAGAAACATAGCACACAGCTCGAATAATGCCAACTTGCTCGCCAAACCACAACCTTTCCAGTGCCAATCAAGGGATGGATGTGATCTTCGTCACTTGGGGACTGTTGTGATGTTGAGCCCTCATTGATAAGCCCTGCACATTTAGCAGACAGGCTCACGGCTGTATCAGATGTATTGCTTGTGTAAAGGGAAGCCCTGATTCGTCACACTCTGCCGCTATTGGGTTGGATCTTTAGACTTTAACTTTTTGGGTTCCCCTCATGCTTCCTTTTAACCAGCCAAAAGTTAAAAGCTTTTTGCTGGGGGATCTACAGCACGGGAAGGCCTGATTCATCACACCCAGAGGCTCCCGATTGATCTAGGGCCTTCAAACAACCTGGTGTTGAGACCCCCAACCACCAATTCCCGGGGTCTCTAATGCTTCGGGGTCGGGTCTTCTATTGAACGCCGAAGCCAGGAGCCTCTGGGCAGGGTGCAAAACAAGGTATTTAGCCCTTGTTAAGGCCTAATTTAGTGCAAAATAAGGGTTTTTTGGAGCTCCCTCCCCCTCCCCTCCCTCCCTCCCTCCCTCCCTCCCTCCCTCCCTCCCAGCCCCCATAAAACAACGCGGGACACCGTTTGCTTTGCGTGCCACGGGGCATATCGGAGGCTCTCAAGCTGCACGGAGCTCAAGCAACGGCTGCAGGAGCTCTTGCCATTTAGCCGGAATCTGGGAGTGAATGTTCAGGGCCAAAGTTTGGACCCAATTTTAGAAATCCTGGCTATTTGGGTTTATTTGGGTTTATTTGGGTTTATTTGGGTTTATTTTGGTTTGCTTCGTGTAGTTCCCCTAGGGTGTAATCCCAGATTGCAATAGGAAAGTCAATAGACTTAAGCAAAGGGGAGAAGACTTGAGTGCTATTGCGTTATATTTTTAGACTTCAACTGTTTGGGTTTGGGAAATCAAGTGTTTTTTTCCGTTAAACCCGCAAAAAGTTTACTTTCTGCGGAGGGGTCAACAGCAACCAAGTTAACTCACTGTTATCATTGTGTGTTCGCCTCTTGCATTGTTTGATGTATAGGTTGTGTTTCATATCTCACTAGGTCATAGGACGAATCAGTTTCCTATGATCATGACGTGATTCGGTTCAACAGTGCCCACTTCCACATAGAATGTGTGGTGTGGTTCGGCGAGGTCAGACGGTCAGCGCGTGCCGAAGAGGTCCGTAGTCCGTTCATTGCCGCGGTTTGGGGCCATTTGCTTATGCCTTGAAATAGGAGGAACCTTCTTTTTTGGGCTTCCTGTTGCCACCCCCAAAAGTGGATTCCTCTTCAATGAAAGAAACCGCACAAACACACACACACACATGTTATGTGATACCTAGGGTTTGGGGGGGGGGGGGGATTCGTATTGGTCAAGCCTGTCCACAAGCCCACGACATGCTTTGTTCCTTTCCGGGCATTTCGGAGCCCTTTGTTCGCACAGAGATGGGGTAGGGCACACGCTGCTTTGGCAAGCCCTGGATGAGGAACAGGAGCTAAGGCGTTTCAGTCTGCTTGGGGCTTCTTCTTGCTGATGTTCAGATCCTTGTCCGCGCTCGCAGCAAGCACAATAGCCATAGAGAAGCCATGAGAAGCCGCTGGATGAAGCGAGAGTTCCGTGAGGCCATATATACCATCACTTGCAGGGCCAGGGTTTACAGGGCCAGTGCTCGCAGCGGTGTGGCGTTGAAAGAAAACCGGCACCTTACCGCGAATCGGTGGTTCAAGTAGCGGTTTCAAAATGAGCTCTTTGATTGCAGCAAGAAGCGACTGTTTCAATCTCTGAAACCAGCGAGTGCACGCAAAAGCACAAGGTAAGCTAAACTCCTTCCAACTTTTAGCCGGGCCCCGTGTTAACAAGCCCCCACTGCGTTTTGTTGTCTCCTCGCGAGGAGGCAGAGCAAATGCAACGCTTCGAATTGGAGGCGTGTACAAAGCCGATGACCAGAGGATTCGCACGGACCAGCCACCGGGTTTGCATCGCAAATTGCGATGCTATTTGGTGCCTGAACGATGACCCAACGTCATGGGCCGTGTTGACAGTTTGGGCCGTTGCTGATGATCTTTTCAAGAAAGCCAACACAACACCAACTGCATGGAATTGGGACCATCTCCCCATGTTGGATGTGGAAGAGGCTTTCCCTGCACCAAGCCACGTAAGCTGGTGGAAAGGTAGGTTGGACCCCTGGAGTTCTACGAATTGATTGTTCGAACTCCCCCCGTTCAGAAGGCCATTGGGGACCCCCGCCCCCACCCTCAAGAGCCTCAAGAGACGGATCCTCCGGTGAAGGCCAAGGAGTTCTGGCAAGCTGAGTTCAGCGTGAAGGAGGCGGGGAGTTTGTTGATGCCTTGATCATGTTTTTTAAGCGGCGGAGGGTGGGTCTTGCCCATGATTTACGGGGCTTTGAAGGGCCTTGCCTGTAGAAGAAAAAAAACGGGTGGAAAGCGGCTCGCACATGAGAAAATGGTGTCTACAATTGGGAAAGGCTTGGGGAGGACTTGCGAGGCATAGCTGGAATCTGCCATGCCGTGCTCTTGCACGGCTCCCGCGTCTTCTCACCATGTCGTTTCACCTCGATTCGCTAGGCCTTGAGCATGTTGCGGAACCACATCCGCTTGGGGTCCTTTGGTGCCGAAGGTGTTTCCAAAGCAGCTAAAGGTACCAGTTGCATGGTCACAGGCTTAACCCTTAGCGCCTTGCTGCCTGAATGGTGCAATGTTTGTGTGGAGATATACAGGCTGGTGACCTTTGCGTACCAGCTTTCAAAGTCGAAGCTCGCTGGTCGCTTGCCAGGTCCTGCCTGTTTTAGTGTAGCTGGAGGGACTTGGCCTGGTGGACCCCCCGTTTCGGATTCCCTCGCAATTGCCATGGCGCTTCCCTGCTAGAAATGGCCCAGGGCAAAATGGCAAGTGCTTCTGGTCCCATGGGAAGCCGGTGTGGGGCGTGCCTTGGGAGCACTTGGTGTTTATTCGGGTCGAAATCTGTGCTTCCTTCAGTTTCGGGCCCCTATTCCCACCCCAAGTTCCAAATGGCATAGTTTCCATTTTTCCCAAAAGGAAATGAAAAACCAAAGGGACCGGGACAACCCCAAAAAACAACCAGAGAAACACATGGAAGATTCAAGAGAAACCAGGACCATGAGCCATATACGGAGGTTCGACCATGGACTCATTGAGCAGACCTCCCACTTGGGGAGCCGGTGATTGAGCCGCGTCAGGAGCAGTACAGCCTCTTGGAGGCCAAGCTGGCAGCACTCGCGCTCACGGAGGCCGGATGTTGGGCCCGGGTCAGCAGGGGCAAAGAGGGCAAAGGGGTGGGCGGGGGCCCACGAAACAACAGCCACGCAGAGCCACACGCATCCACATCCAGGTCCACTCAGGCCCACTCAGGTCCACACATGCATACAGATATATACACCCCCACACATACATGCATACAGACATAAACCCAGACGCGCACACACACATATATATATAATATATATATATAATATACAGCCGTGCACAAGCAAAAACAGCAAGGGCTGTCGCTCATGTGCGCAACTCAGGTTCTCCACGTGCACGCTTGCACGGCCCACGCTTCAGGAGGAAGCGGAGGCAGACGCGCTCCGGAAGAGTTGTGAGGAGCTCGAGGCAGGCCTTGGGAGCCTTGGAAAGGGAAAAGGGAACCAAACATGTGCCTTTGCCGGTGTGGTTGGGTTTCGGTTCGGTTCGGTTCGGTTTCCAGACTCCGATTCTTGGGGCGGTTCGGTTCTTCAACCGGCTTCAGAAATTCTGTTGAAATGATCTGGAAGTATTGTTCAACTTCAGATTTTACAAAACGTATGGAACAGAACCAAACCTATTTTTGTTGGGAAAAACTGAGGTAGGCTGCACCGGGGTGTTTGCCGGTTTTCGATGCTGCAATAGCTGAGAGGGCTTCCAGAGGTTTGCTCACTTGAGAAGCTCGATTTTGCCCAGACATCCCAACAAGAAATGGCCGTGGGTCAACACCAATGGTACCACTTTAGGGTTTTCGGTGCACCACCCATTTTAGAACCAAATTTAGTGGTTGGATTGGGTCCCGTTCACTGGGGGTACAATTTGGGCTTTGACCCATAGCCAAATGTAGACCTACGTTGCTCCAAGCCTACAGAAGGATCGCCTGCCTCAAGGGGAGGCAGCGCATGGAAGCTGCTCCCAGGCCCCCGCCAAGCTCCCAACGGCGATGCCGGAGGAGGTGCAGGCCGTCCGATGGAAAGCGGCCAGTGCCTAACACGAAGGGAAAATTCTTTGGAGAGGCTAGCTGCCAAAGGAGATCCGGAAAAACATGTGGTTTAGACTGGTGGTTTGGGGAGTTGACTCTTTGGTGGTTGTTTGGGCATGCTGGGAGGCTACGCCCTCCGAACCGCCCAAACCAGAGGGAAAAACTGACCGCCCTCGCAAGTTGCGAGCATAGGAGACTGCAGGCACAGGTCAACACATGGACAAGTCCATATAGACAAATTCACAGACAAAGAGAGAGAGAGAGCGAGCTTTCTTCATACGTTTCACAGATGGTTCGGGCTGGTGCGAATCAGAAGCTATGTACATGAACCATGAACATTGCAGCATTCCAGAAGCAAGAGCCTGCATCTTGATCCCGGGCAAATCCGAACCTACCTCAAGCGAACATAGGGTATCATGGGTATCTAAGCTTGCCTTCGTGCTTAGATGATGTCTATTGGTAGCCCATCTTCCCTTGGAAGTTATGGCTTGAGTGAACCCTTTCTTCAGATTGATGGGTAGTGAAACCCCTTTAAACAAATCTCCATTTCGCTGCCAAGGAATGGTTTGGGATGACGAAGCACCAAGGTACATTGGACCAATTCCCTCCCCCTTTTTGCTCCGCGGAGGCTACCAGAGCCGGCTGCGAGGTGCAGCTCGGAAGTAATATGGAAGGGCGGTGCATCTCCAAGGGTCGAATTTGCCTACCCAGCCATTGAAGGCCCTAAATCAATCGAATTGGAGCCTTTGGTATGTGGAGCGATGTTTCACCTTGGCAGTGGAAAGCTGTTGACGGCCGCGGATGTCAATTTGAGGCCTAAAGCCTGGAGGTATTCACCTTTGACTGACACGAAACTTGAAAAGTGCTGTGTTCCCTTGGGCGTCCGCTATCCATTGCGAAGAGATCAGCTGGATTGCGCGCGAGCATGTTCAAGAGGCATGGGGCCGGCTGGCTTTGGTATTCGTCGCACTTTCTTCTCGGGCCTTGGGGTGCGTGCATCAGATGTGACGGCAGCTCAGGCTTTGTGAAGAAGCCGATGCAGACGTACAGCAGGCGGGCCGCATGCAGTGTCTCTTTGTGCTTCGAGATTTGCCCGAAGCAGGGTCGGAGGGCGGTTGTTAACTTGACTTGAATCCGATGTACTTGAACAGACTGGTCGTCATGCCTCAGCTTAGGGTTTGAAGAGGAAGATCAGCCGAAGGCCCGCTACAGGCCCGTTGTTTCTAATTGGCCTTTTTAGACGAGTGGATGAAGATGTTTGCCAAGGGCAGGCACCAAGATACTCACCAAGCAAAACAAATCTGCATCGTTGGCCCATCTGGATCGGTGTCCTTTGTTCTCCATGGAAACCAAAAAAAACGACACACGCCACTGACACCACCCCTTTGTCCTTTTTTCTTCAGAGGAACCCCTTTTTAAGTCAAAGATCAAGTCTTTTTGTTGCCGTCAGGAGATCGAAGCCGAGAGAGACGACACAGAGGAGGACAGGATTGGCGCTCACATTGTGGCTGGATGCCCTAAATATTGCAAGGGAACAGGGAATCCCAGTATCCTACCGTGATTTACCATGATTTTGAGGTTGAGGATGGTTGGTGTACTTCCAATATTTCGGGCATCCACCATACATCGTAAGCTTGGGTGTGGCTCAGAATTAAGCAGGAGGGGCAAGCCGCAGGTCTTGGTCCATGTTTCGACTTACCAGGGCAAGCCATTTTGGAATTCCGGTTTTTGAGCCACCTCAGAACCTGCCGTCGGTTGGCCAGGAGCTGGACCTCAGCGACGCCAGGTCGGTGCAAAGCTGTCTGGAGAGCCTCGAGGCCGCCGAGTCCAGTGGAGTCCAATCGATTCGGCGCATTCGGCCGCGCGCAATGGAAGGGAGCAGCGGGAGATGGGAACCTGAAGCTGGTGGTTTTTTGGTTTAATGAATGCCTTCCCCTGAGGGAAGCCAATAGGAGCACTGCAACATTGGGCCGCCTCAGCAGCCTCAGCTGTTGCTTTTGTTTTTTATGTTTAATGGATGGGCCCTTGAGGGAAGCCAATAGGAGCACTGCAACATTGGTTGGGCACGTGTTATTCAAAGACCCGCGTCCCGGATTAAGAAACCTTGCGGATTCATAGAGATATGTGCTTTTTGAGGGGACGGATTCAATGATTCCCTCCAACATAGCGCGATCCCCCGATTATTAATCCATGACGGGTTCGTTGATCCGTTTACCGCTAAACATGTTTGCCTCCTCCCGACCACAAGGCACCTGTGTCTTCCTCTGGTCAAGTTTCGCGTCACCGGCCCACTTCAACAGGCAAATGCAGCAGGTGCAAACAACACGTACTTGGAATTGGAGATCCGGAGGGCGCTTGAAGCGAGTATTGAGTTGAAGTATTTTAAAGGGACGAACTCTCCACACTGTTTAGGGCACTTAAGGTGCTGGGCTGCTTGATTATAAAGCACCTGCCGACTTTTCAATCAATAAGTAAAAGCACAACTCCTATGTTTGAGGCCCATTTGGGCAATGTGTCAAAACGAAAGGACCCGCTTCGGGCTATGTAGACATACCCACGGCAGTTTGACCCCCGGTTTGGGATTTGTCCCAAAAAGTGGAATCCCTTCGAAATGCCTGGTTTGCCCACATGTGAGTGCGTCTCAAAATCGGGAACACCCTTTTGGCTTCAGATGCCGTCCTTGGTTCCTTCTGGCCAGGCAGCCAGCAGCAGCAAGGCAGAGCAGATGCTGAGCAATCTCCGTGCGGAGGTGCGAGAGTGTGGGGAAGGGCCGAATTTTCAAGCGACTCAGGTGACGCGACTCAGGCGAGGCTTGCAGATTTGGAGCCTGGGTGTTTGAAAGGAAATTTGGGACCCTCGTTCCTACCCAGGCCCAAACCCCGAAAGGAAGGATCCTTTAAATTGGGCTTTGTCTGGGCTTGGCGAATTTTGTTGGGCGCAGTATTTTTTTCAGGGGGACTAAGTGTTTGGCCAAGTTTGAACCCCAAACCGATGCCTTGATTTTTCTATCTGGAAACGGGCGCACTCACAAAGGCACTGTATGCCTCGACCCTCCAGGGATTCCATGCCCTGCTGATGGCAGCCCTCTCACGGGAGGCTGGGCTCACCGGGATTCGAGTCGGGAGACACCCCCAGGGTGGGACGGGGGGGGTGGGGGAGGCTGCAAACTGGGACTTGCTTGTTTCAAGAAGGCTGGGTTGCCCTCTGATTTTGGCGATCAATGAACTGATTGCGGGCTGCCACAGTTCGCCTGGTGGAACTTGTCCTTGAGGGCGCCCACAAAGCTTTTTAAAGCGTACAAACTGCAAAGTGGTGTTAAAGCAACATCTCCTTTAGTGAGGTTCCATGTTAATCTGCAGAGAGGTCACACACACACACACACACCGCACCATACCACACCGCACACCACAGCTCTTGCGCCCCGTACCTAGCCACTCTGAGTTGTGAATCATTTAGATGTTGTTTGCTTTTCGCACCGCAAGGGAGCTATGTTTGTTGTTTTACAAGCGCCTGCTTCTACATGCAAAACAGCCGATGTGTCGTTTTGGACCCAAGGGGAAAGCATAAGGGATAGGATGGTTCTCCAGTTTCCCAGCCCCAAACCACTATCCGGGGATACACCACCACTACGTAGCCACTATGTGAGGGAAAAAAGCACCGACTTTCCTTAGTCCAAGGTATGGAACAGATCTATTCAAGCCCTCGGTTTCCAGCCCCTCTTGACCTTGCGCAGGGATCCGGCCCTTTGCTCCACCGCATCATCCGCGTGTGGGCGCCGCACTCGGAAATCAGGGAGTGGGGCCAGAGGAGTTTCCTGCGTCGGTGCGGTGTGCATTTTTGGGTTGTTCCCTTTAATTTAACCAAGGGACATGGGGTTCTTGTTGTTGTCACTGGACAACTGGGAATCGCAAGCGAGGACATGCTTTTTCGAGACCTGGCATGTTCACTGGCAATCCTTTGTACTGCTCTTGGTGCCTGGTGTAGTGGCTTTAGAGTTGCAGCTTGGCATGGCCCGATGCAATGCACTGTGGGATTTGACCCTCATGCAGGAACAAGTTGCATCCAGATCTTTGCCCTGATTATTTGAACAACACCGCCAATAAAGAGGTAGTTCATCTTGGGTTACACGTTTTTTCTCCCACACAAATCTCTTTTGCACCGTTTTTCACGGGCGCCTCTGGCTTTTACCCTGGCAAAGAGAGCTGAGGTTTGACCAAGACGCGTCTATCAAGTCCAAGGTTTTTTCTGGCATCCCAGCCTTAGGGCTTGTGATCAGTCTCAGCTCATCAGGGTGGGTAAGGGAGGGCAACCAAATCAGTTGGCGTTTGAGAGAAGGAGAGAAGGAAGGCCCAACCAATTCTGCAAGAGGTCTAGTAATCAGGGCCAATATTTATTGTGGGAGAGGTGCGGTCATGGTCATGGCTTCCTTGGAGCGGAGCCTCGCAAAGGCCTCAATGTGATTGTGCTGACTTGGGAAGAAAGCCGAAAGGACTCTCCCGAAGTTGTTTTTCAGGCGACTTAAGACCACGGTGGTCCGAACTTTCAAAAAAATGGGTCAGATCGCATGTTCCAACACTGAGTTAACCCTAAAAATAGGGGTTCATACATGGGAAGCATACCAGGGCTTCAGACAAGAACGGAGTTTCAGCCTCTGTTATGGGGGCTGGGGGAGGGGAAGGGAGCCCAAATATGCCCAAAATAATGCCTCAATAAAGGCTTCAGGGTTTTTTTTGGCTTCCTCCCTTCCCTCCCCTGACACGGGTTCGTACATTCAGCCAGCGGAACCGGCGGCATGCACCGCGTCCGCCGGTGAAGCTCCAGGTGTGCCGGCTGCTGAACCGTCAGGAGGGCCTGGCGATGAAGAAGGCGGCGGAGCTGGGCAACGTCCAGGCGCGACTGACCGGGAAGAGGCAAAGAGGAATCTTCCATTTGCTTAAGAATATGTTTCTATTGGCACGTGCTGCTTTTCGTTGGTTGGGTTGGCACGAGATGAATATTCTGTGAATTTCCCTCGTTGAGGGAGGGAGGGAGGGAGGGAGGGAGGGAGAGGGAGAATCTTCTGATATGTTTCCCGGCCTTTGAAAACGAGTTGATTTTTGCCTCAAGTCCGGCGCCCGGCTTGCCCGGCTTTGGCCAGGCGCTGGAGGCGCTGGTTTCGCTGGGCCGGGTGCCAAGTCGGCAGTGAGCCTGTGTCCAAACTGAATCGCCCGTTCGCCTGGCGGGTCAAAATTGAACCCGGACCGCAGGTTTTACTCTTGGGTTCCATTTACCAGGGTTCCATTTTGGGTACCCATTTTTGACCCACAGCCATATGGCTGGGGTTGTCAAAACCAATGGGATCCCACTTTGGGGTAGGTGAATTCACCACCCCTTTTCGCCTATTTCCGTGTGGATTGGGATGCTCACTGGGGGTACGGGATCGAGGGGGTTGATTCCCACTTCTGTGATACAAGGGCAGCTTCCGCGTTATACTGGGGTTTCGTGCGTCTTTGAGAAGCCCTTTGTATCACAGAAGTGGTCATTTCCCACAGCCCTGGTCCAAAATGAATCGCCCTGTTCACCTGTTGGCGTTCGACCAATAATACCTCAAAAGTTGGCACAAGAAAAAGCAAATAAACACCCTGGAATTCAGCCTTTGGTGTGTCCAGTATCGTCCCAAGTTCCAAAAATACACCTGCACCCTAAAATTCACGCTTTTGATTGGCCCAGTTTGGTCCAAAGTTCCACCCTCGTGGAGGGTTTTGGCAGCACGCCTGAAATAAGGCGACGGGCGGCAAAAGGATGGGGTGCGACTTGACGGACACAGCAACCAGACTCTTGAATCCAGGGGGAAGGAGTTATACAAATGCAGACATGTGTGTCTCTCATTTACGTCAGGCTTTCGATTGAACACCAACTGCAGTGAACGGGCTGCAAAACCAAACAGTTGAGTTGTTGAGTCGCACTTGATGTTTGTTTCCACTTCCTTTCTCCTGACGCAGGAACCAGGATGGTTTCGTTTGCACCAGACACCCACGATCACGGACATTTTACATTTGCCCATTTGGAAGACCATCACCGAACGACAGCTGAGTGCGAGGTCCCCCGATGGAATCATCGGTCTGTTTGCCAGCAGCTCCAAGCAGGACTTGTGAACGGACATTATCTTGTGTCGACAAAGCTGAGATCATGATAAGCACTGTGCAACATCGGATGGGTGAAGCCAATAAGATTCGTCGAACCACCTCACTTCCTGAGTGAGTGGATTAGATTATTAACCCAAACCTATCCAAACGTTTGGCCAGGAACTCAGGGAGTGAGCAAATGACGGCGTAATGAACAGATCCCCCGCTGGACTTCCAGTTCTGGTTGTATTTTCCCTTTTATGGACTAGATAAATGGAATTGGGGACCCACCCTTCCCCTCAAGGTAGGGGGGATATGGACAGGCCAACTCCAGCCCTTGCCCATTTGAAACATGGCTTTTTCAACACCAAACTAAAGTTGGACACCCCCATATACAAGTTGCAATGTTCAGGTCTCCGATTTTGAGACCCCCAACTGGGTCCCACCCATTTCCCAGCGGGTTTTCTGAGGTGCTGAGGTGGTACGATCCCTGTCAAGCCGCGCCAGTCGCTGAGGTGGAACCGCTGCGGTGGCAAAGGCCACCGCGAGCTCGGATAACGGCCAGGCAGGGCGGCAGAAGGTGAACCCCTCAGTTCAGTGGCACCAGTTGGTTTTTTCCCCTTTTTGCTTGGTGGCTGCCCCACGAAAAATGGTCCAAGTTCCCCAAAAAGGGGGAACCCCAACTTTTTTTTTCCCAGGGGTCACTGAACAACTGAGCCCCGGATCTAAGTGGAGCCCTGGTTGATTTTGATTGGGGGGCGTCCCCTTTTAGTGGGGATTCAGACCACTTTTTGTGAACCCACCCCGGCTCTAAGTAGACCCCTGGTTGATTTTGATTGGGGGGCGTCCCCTTTTAGTGGGGGATTCAGACCACTTTTGGAGGGAACAACCCCCTTATAAGGGGACGGAGTTATTCTTCACTTCACCTGGCCGGACCTCCTGGCAGAAGAAACACGCAGAGTCTATTTCGAAGTGATGGGGACAACTTAAAGTGAAGACAGAAGGAAACCTATGGCCGGGGACGCGCGGATGTTTAAAAGATAAACAGCTTGGGAAACAGCTTGGAGAACCGCCTTTTGGATGTGTTCGAAGGGAAATCAGAAGGATGCCAGCACAGCCGTGCGTTGTTCTTGTTGTTGATTGGCTGCGGGGTTTGGCACGCAACAAGTATGCTTGCTCGATGTTGGCACACAAAAGTCGGTGTTTTTTGTTTATGTATTTTTGTACGTGAGTTTTTTCGTGCCGGGCCTCGAAATGTCCGCAGATGCTGCGCGAGAGAGGGCTGTGGCCTTCTCCGGGATCCATTTCTGATGGCAGGACGCGTCAGCGCCACTGACGCGGCCGCCGGAGAGGCCAGCTCCGAGTCCGATGAGGTCCCTTTGGACAGTTCCTATTGAAATGGGTATGGGTCAAAATCAAGGCACCAGGGGACCACAGGTTTTAGTCCATGTTTCCATTTACCAGGGCCGCATTTTGGGTACCTATTTTTGACCCACACCCAAATGGTCCCCCTTTTGGTTGTTTTGGCTAAAAATAGATGGCCCTGGTTCACCTGGTCGTTTTTTCTCATCTACCAGGGAAACCCATCTATCCGAGATTCTGTGGGTCTCCGACGGGACGGACACCCTTCACCATTCCTCGTGCTTGTTGTGCATTTTCGTTTGGGGTTTGTAACAGACCTCAGTTGGGGGTGATCGGTTCAAAGCCTCGAGAGAGATGCATGACATAATACTTGAGAGCAGCAAGGGCTTCGGGACGGCCAAAATCCTGGTTTGCAGGCTTCAGCGGGCTTGCGTTGGCGAAGGGATGAAGCGTAGTATCCACAATTCACCAACAAAGTGGCTACTGCTACTGCTACGACTACACTGCTTACCACTACTACCACCACCAGTCCGGCTACTTCAAATAACCATAGAGACTACAGGAAGACCCAATCCCAACCCTCATAATGTTGACCCCGGATTAATAAACCCCGGCTTATTAATATGGGGGTGTTCCCGTCCAAAAGTGATGAATCCCCACCAAAACCGGGGACACCCCCATATTAACAAACCGGGGTGTATTCATCCGGGGTCAACCTTATGTTGCTGTTATTGACACGCCCCGGCCCCCAGGAGTGCGGAGACCGGCCTGCTGGCGCTGTGTGCAGTAAGAGGCGACTGCGAGTCCTTGCCGCAGCCTTGGCGTCGCTGAAGAAAACCTGATGAAGGAAACCCCCCAGGCCCTTGTTGGATAGAAAGTGTCGTGAGACAAGGGGCCCTGATGATTTCCCAGTTGAAGTCAAGATTTATCACGCAGTCCTTCTCAACAGCTAGGGCGGGCGCTGTGCCCTTCATGTTCCAGCAAAATGCGCTGGAAGGTGGACCAGAGTTGTAGGGTCCGCACGTGATTTGCATTGTGACCTTGCTTGCCTTCAATGGATTTTAGCCGGTCAGACAGCGCCATGGCTCTATGAGCCCTTGGCAGCGGGTTTTTAGGGGGGATGGTAAAATCCTTGACCTCACACCGGCAAAAGGAGCCCATTAGGTGACAAAAGCCGGATCCCTTGGTCTGGTTTTCAGGATGCCCTGGTCCAGAGGTTGGCTAAAACCGTTTGCAGAGGTTTGCACACGGAAGAGTGAACACGCCTCTATTTGTAATCCCAGTGCTACGTGGGGTGAGCTTTTGGGTTTATCTCAGAATTCGGGAACTCCCAAATGGCCTTCGACTTCCCTTTGGTTTCCCCTTCAAGTGCCCTCACCCCCTAGTACCTGATGGGGCCGGAGTACCCTGAAAAAATGGCCCACCCACGTTCCAGGATTGTCCCCAAACCACTTCCCCATGGGTTGAATTGGATATGCAACGCCTGTAGAAGGCTGATGGTTTGGGGGTTGGAGACGAGGCAAAAGGCACAGCCACCCCCTTCCCTGGAGTCCTACTGTGGATGGACGAAATCCTGCACCACCTATGGTTTCTGATGATTGACCTGTGAATGCCAACAAACAATGGTTACAACCATGGTTTCAAAGTGGCGCGAAATGAATTTCGTCCATCCACAGTATGGCATTCAAAGACGCTGTCAGAACACCTTGCGGCTGGTTCTAGCTCAGGGCGCTACTCTTGGAACACCTCCGCGGGAGCAGGCGCGCCTTTTGTGCAAGCCTGGCTGTGAGAAGGGCATACTATGGGTGGACCTAAGACCATGGGTGATGTTTCCACTGTAAAAAAACCAACAAACAATGGTTTGCTATGGTTTCAAAGAGGCTGGGAAACTTTCCCAGCATATCCCTATGGAAGGGGGTCGACGCCCAGTACGGAAGCCTCTCCCCACAAATGTTCGCTTTGTAGGTACAAGGGAAGTGATGTATGGAAGGGGGGCTACGTGCTTCTCAGCTAGGGCCGAGGCTCACATCTTGCTTGTTCTCCTCACTGATTGCAATGGGGGATTCGTGAAGCTCTTCTCGTCAGGCCTTTTGTGACACATAGGCAGGTTGACATATATCCGGGTCCGCACTACCAAAGAGACATCGGCTTAGAACGTTGACCCAACCAGTAAGCCGTTCGTGGGTTAATAACCTATTCAGCATAAGGCCCCTGAGCCCGGATGTACTTAAGGGACTTACTGCCTGGGGTACGAATCAGTGGTCATCCAAGCAATCCTCATTCTACAATTAGTCAATGCACGAGCAGCCGGGGGGGGATGATACATCCTTACCGGGCCTCCATGGGACATTGTTGCCAGCTAGGGCACCTTTGAGGCCCTACCGATGTTCATACATGCTAAAAGGCAGGGGCCCAACCAAGCGCAGGTTTTCCAGATGCAGTTGATTTGAAACCACTCCCCAAAAATGTATCGCTGTGTGTTTGGCTTTGACAGGGAACATTTGTAAATTGCTTGGTGGACAAACATCTCCCAACTCAGCCTCATATTTGGACTGTTGGAGAGGTTCCTGCAAGAGTTGCTGGACCCTTTTCAAAGGCCCTGGCTTCCTTCATGCCGCCTCTTGAAATGGGCTTCTGAGTTGGCCACGTTGAGCAGTCATCAGTCAGGGTGATGCATTCCGTGTGATTCGGGGCTTCTAGGGACCCCTCCAAATTATGGGTTTCACTTCAGAGATTTTATGAATTTGCACTGCACCCCTAGGGTCCCTGGTTCGCAATACCATCATTTCCTCCGGCCCTCAGATTTAACCATCACAACTTGCCTTCAAAACTAAGAGGGAGGCGCTAAACCTTTAGAGGAATCGAACATTTCGCCGATGGCTCCTGCAGGAAGAGTCTTGAGCTCATCAGTGAGGCGGCTTCCGCTTTTTTGAGGTGATTGTTGCTTGTTTTGGTTTGCTACCCTCCTGCAAATGAGCACGAACACCACCGTGCTTTAAAGAAGACTCAGTTTGGGGACCCCGTTCCATGCTGATTTTGCGCGGGGGCATTGGCTTGCACATGGAAACCCTTTGCCATCTCTGTCGGGCAAGTATGGCAAAGTGCATCCCTAGTCTGCAAAAAGTCAAGGCACTGGTGTTTAGGGCCACTTTTTCGCTCATACCCAGGAAACTCCCAGAGTGACCAAGAAATCATAAGAAGTGCCCATTTCGGTATCCCTGAAAGCATTTCGGTTCGTGCAGCAGCGCCCGCAACAGGGGATGCATCGGCGCGTTTCGGGTGTCCGCTCCTAGCTACCTTCAAGTAGGACGCCACACAGCACACCTGTTTATCATGTGCAAAAAGCAGAGTGGTTGGCTTCATAGATTACAGAGGTTTCGTGGCGCCTGGCTGTTGTGGAACATGGGCTTAGCCAATTCAGTACCTCCGTTTTGCGCCACATGTTTTGTTGCTTTGCTGGTTTTCGGCAGATAGGCAATGCACCAGCGTAGTGCTACAATATTCGACTGGGTATGATTGGTTCGGGAGCCATGACTATTGGGGCCCAAGAAGGGCTCTCAGCCCCCATGGCTGGCCATGGATCAATCCTGAATTCAAAGGAGCGATGTCATAGTGTGTCCTTTTTGGTTGTTTTGATAGAAACATAGATGGCCCCGGTTTACCTGGTGGTAAAATTACCTACCAGGGAAACCCATCTATTTCCCCCCAAAAAGGACGCCTATGAGCGATGTTTCCTCAAGCGTTGGTTGGGAGGCGCGCGTCCTGGCTGAACAGCATGGCCACTTGGCAGACAAATCCACACCTAAGAAGGGACCATTGGCGTCCAACAGCTGCACCACTGCTCACTAGGTTGTTTGCCTCCGGGAGGTTGCATTGACCCGCAGAAGGCAGAAGGCATTTTGCTCAACTTGTTTGTTCTACAATTTATCAAGTGGAGTGATGGACTGGGGTGCGAGATTGCTTTCCTTTTTCGCACGGGTGTTACAATTTGCCATTGCAACAACCACTGACAGGCCGTGCACATGGAGGTTCCAAATGTTGCCAAAGTCCAAGTCTGGCGAATGTGTTTTCTTTGCGGGCGAGACAATGCCATATACTATGGCATAAGTGAAGGATCTGATTTGAGAAGATGCGGCCTGCCGACACGTGCTGCGATCTGCATCTCTTGAAGTGTCGGCCGACATCTCCGCGTTTCGCTGTGCCTGTTTGGAGAGACTGGAAAGCTGTATTCCACTATATATATATATATGGTACAGCGTTGCCAGCCCCCCCCCCCCTCCCCCCCCAATGGTCATGGGTCAGACAAGTACCCCCCCCCCCCCTGTGGTTGTGGTCCTGTGGTTGGGTTGTGGTGGTTTAGGGTTGGTTTAGAATTGGTTTAGGGTATATTTAGGGTGTATTTAGGGTTAGTTTAGGGTTGGTTCAGGGTTGATTTAGGTTGATTTATGTTGATTTAGGGTTGGTTTAGGGTTGGTTTAGGTTCAGAGGTGTACGGTCGGTTTAGGGTTTGGTTTAGGGTGTATTTAGGGTTGGTTTAGGGTTAGTTTAGGGTTGGTTTAGGTTTAGGGTTTATTGTTTAGGGATTGGTTTAGGGTGTATTTGGGGTTAGTTTAGGGTTGGTTTAGGGTTAGTTTAGGGTTGGTTTATGTTGATTTAGGGTTGGTTTAGGTTTAGAGGTCTACGGTTTAGGGTTTGGTTTAGGGTGTATTTAGGGTTGGTTTAGGGTTAGTTTAGGGTTGGTTTAGGTTTAGGGTTTATTGTTTAGGGATTGGTTTAGGGTGTATTTGGGGTTAGTTTAGGGTTGGTTTAGGGTTAGTTTAGGGTTGGTTTATGTTGATTTAGGGTTGGTTTAGGTTTAGAGGTCTACGGTTTAGGGTTTGGTTTAGGGTGTATTTAGGGTTGGTTTGGTTTAGGGTTAGTTTAGGGTTGGTTTATGGTTGGTTGCGGGTTGGCTTGTCCTGGCGGGTCGGGGTGTCGGGGTGCGAGTTCAGGGGTCGGGGTGGGGGTGGGACCGTAGGTGCCAGGATCCGGGGGCTCGGGGTCTCGGGCCGGGGGGGGTCCTGGGGGACCATACCATATGGGGGGGGGGGGGGTAGCAACACGGAACACGGGACCATATATGTATATGTATATATATAAAAATTCCAGTACATATATATATATATATATATAAGTAGTACTGTATGTGTGCCTCGTTTCGAGGGAAGCCCTCTCAGCCCTTTTGGTTCTTATTGTTACGGCAGAGAAGGCCATCAGTCGGGCTGGGCCTTGAGGCTTGTGACTTAGGACGGGCGGAGGCCGCCGGGCTTTTGGCCACACACCTGGCCGCTTGGCCTCGGGACTTGTGGCGTGGGCCCAGTTCTCTCAAAACACCCGGTCTAGGTCCCCCAGCAATTGGTGCCCTTTTACCCTTTTTTTGGGGAGAGGGTTCCCCCACTGAAACAGACTACAGAAAAAAGGGCCCTTTTTCTACCCTCTGGAGGACCTAGCAACCCTTCAAATCCACCCCAAGGTTCTTGCGTAATGTTGGGGAGTGAATAATAAAGGGCCCCCCCCCCTCAAACAAAATGGGGGGGGGGGTCAATAGAGGAAACCCTAAAAACAAAATGAGGGTCAGACCGGGTCTTCCCTAAGTAGTATTCCAGTAAGTATTGGGTAGTATTGGTTTAGTATTGGTTTAGTATTCTTGCTGACTGGCTTAGTACTGCTTAGAATTGGTTTAGTATTGGTTTAGTATTCTTGCTGACTGGCTTAGTACTGCTTAGAATTGTTTAGTATTGGTTTAGTATTCTCGCTGACTGGCTTAGTACTGTTTAGTATTGGTTTAGTATTCCCTGGCCCCAGTCCTAAGAAACTTTTCTCAATTAACTCCCCTTAAACAAATCTCATTATTGGCTTCCTGGGTGTTCCCTGAACTACCCCCTTGAAAATTTGGCAGGGTGCAACTTTTAGTAAGGGCTGTCATAAAGAGTTTGGCTGTTGCGGCCGCAGTTAAACTTCCTTTTCTGGGGAGACTCAGTAGTTCTTTGGAAAGGGAAGCCCTTTTCCTTGCAGGCATCCCTGGCCCCAGTCCTAAAACACTTTTCTCAATTAGCCACCCTTAAACACATCTCATTATTGGCTTCCTGGGTGTTCCCTGTACTACCCCCTTGAAAATTTGGCAGGGTGCAACTTTTAGTAAGGGCTGTCATAAAGAATTTGGGTGTTGGGGACCTCAGTTAAACTTCCTTTTCAGGGACTTCAATCATCATCTCCTTGTTGGTGGTGGTGGTAGGTTGGGGGGGGCGGGCGGGGCAGAGAGAGACAGGAGTTGCACTGAACTAGGGATTAATTTTCAATCTTTTTTTTGGGGAACATTTTTTCCGGATTGTTTGCCCCTCACAAAAACTGTTGTGTATAAACTCCCCCTTTTGCTTTTCAGGGGTGTGAATCATTTTGTATTTTTTTTTGTGTATTGACTCCCCATTTATTATTCGCAACCTAACATTAGGGTCTCTGATTTCCAATTGGCGACTCGTTGTAATTCACGGTCCTTTTGCGCAAAGGCGGCAAATGTCCCGGTTCGTGGTTGAACCTCTAATAATCGATGTCAGGATGAGATGAAGATCTGATGAGTCGTGGTTTTGGGCCGGCCTGTGGGTTCCTTTTATGTGTTCCTTGAGTTCTTGGACTTTAAACTTCTTGGGGAAAAAAAACATTTCAGTGGTAAACAAAACAAATAGACTCGAAATGGGCCCTAAGACTCAGGAAGTGAGTTTGGCACCAACCCCAGCTGTGAGGTTGTAGAACTCTCCTACGTCGGCAACGCGAGGTACCGCTCAGGCAAGGCGGGCGTGACACGCGGAAGGGATTAGGTGTCTTCAGGTGAACGTCAACGTGGAACCTAAAGAGCTCGGTTTTAGAGAAGTGTTTGTTTGTTTTGGGAAGCCTTTCTCGTTTTTCTTGTTTTTATTGATTTTATTTATGTTTTTTCTGGGGGGAGGGGAAGGGGGGCAGGAATATAGGAATCCATGCTAGTGTACATGCGGAATTGCTATGCATGCGGATTACTGGTCTTGGTATGTTTGCTTATGGAGGTGCGTTTGCTAGAGTTCCAGGATTTGGGCAGAAGAAGGAAGGGTGAGCCCTTTGAATTGGTTAAGGCTGGCCGCGACTGACGCAACTTAGATTTGCAACTTCTCCAGCACCTTTTCTAGGTCCCCCAGCTAGGTGCCCTTTTGCCCTTTTTTGGGGGAGGGTTCCCCTGCTGGAGGACCTAGTTCTGCACAAGTCACCCAAGTCAGTCCAATCCAAGCAACATCAGTGACACAAGTTTGCTGATGATGGACGTGATTGAGTGGTCTCGCTCCGTTATTCCCAACTATTGCGTTTTCCGAAGAGAGAATTAACAAGCGAGCTGTGATGGTATGGGGTCACACTACATTGACCTTCTTCAATCAGACATATGTTCTTCATATCACAGACGCAGACAAAACCACGCCCATGAACTTCGCCGGCAAAGCGCTGAACCCCGTGTTCGCTCGTGAACGGCGGAGGCGAGTATGAGACAGCCATCGCTTGCTACCACGAAGCAACGGGCTTGGAGAGACGTGTAATCAGCCGCGGCATCAACACAGCACCAGGATGGTGATCTTTCAATCCAAGAATCATGGTTGGTTGCATGTTCATTTTCAGGAGTGAACCGATTGGCACTGAAAGAAGGAAAGCTGGGCATTGTCCTCAGTGGCTCATGGAAGCTGTGAACCAATTGAGGGCTAGTGAAGCCAAGGGCGAAGCGCGTGGTGCTCGTCTCAAAATGCGGCCCCTTGTTTGTGTTGGGCGACCTAAGCCCTACCACTTACACTCCAGCTTAACCTGAACCCTGAAAACTTGCCGGTGCTCTGGGAATGACCCAGGGTTTGGGAATGAACCTGCGGATTCCCTCAAAAGAAACCAGATGGGATATAGGCATCCTTCCCTGATTCTTGCTAAGAACCCCTCCGGTTTTTCCGGTTGCCCAGTGGTGCCCTTCTTTCAACTTTCTTTTGGTAACGGGTTCCCATTTAAAGTCAACCAACCAAAACTAAATGGGTGCCCATCCTTTTCTCATGGAAATCCACTGGGAATCTGAGTTTATTCCCAAGCCCCCAACCCCCTCCACCCCCGCACCCCCCGCCCCCCCAACCCCCCCCCCCCCCCCACCAACCCCCCAACCCCCGAACCCCACAATCCCCATTGGCGCCGGGCTTGGCGGAACCTTCCGGACTTCGATCCCTTGCCTCGGCCGTGCTGAGGCCATCGAGCTCTGCGAGGTGCACCCCGAAGGCGCGCCCCCGCGCGCGCGCGCTCGAAGATGGCCGCGCTTCCGCGCGGTTTTGGACGTGCTTCGGTGTTGGACGCCCCGGGGAATGGGAGTTGTTTTGTAGGTCCCCCAGCTAGGTGCCCTTTTACCCTTTTTTGGGGGAGGGTTCCCCTGCAAAAATAAACTACAGACAAAATGTACCCTTATTCTAACCTCTCTACTGGAGGACCTAGTTTTGTTGCTGCCTCGGCTGGCTTGGCTTGTTGGTTTGCCCGGTTTTGGTGGGTTTTTGGCAGGCAGGGCTCGTGCAGAATGGGGCCGCCCTGTTATCGCACCGAACTGTATCATAGGATCCTCGAAGAGTTCAGATGCTTATCGCAGTGCCTTGAACAGCTTCGTCACCCCGAATGGCCAATGACTACAGTCACCAGCCATACGTACTATGCTGTAGGTATGGAAGCAAAGTCCATTGGTGCCCGCTCCGCTCCGGTTTCTTGAGCCGAGCCCAAGCCGACAGGAAGCCTCCAGAATCAGGTGGTGTGGGCAAATGGCATCGCAACCTCGCACATGGTTCCGGCTTGTGTGGCCAAAATGGCGTGGCTTCCTGGGACCAGCTTCGGTTTCATGTTGGCCCATTTTGAACAAGGGGTACCCAAATCAGTCGTCAGTTTTTGACAGCTCCACAGACAGGGGCCACTCTTTGGCTAGTAGAAGTTGTGGCTATGATAAGCTTTGTCTCAGGCTAACGGGCTCCGAGAACTTGATATGCCACGATTGTTTGCAGATGGGACTCATACGCCTGTTGAATGAGTCTCCAATCAGGCATCCATTTGTGCGGCTTGCGCTTCCCCAAGCGGTCATGCCAATGCACGGCAGGTACAAGCTCGGTCCCGCCGGCCTCGTTGAGAAGCAAGCTCCGTGGGATCTTCCGTGGGGCAGAAGTGGCTGGAGCCTATGGCTGGATATTTGAAGCAAACCGAAATGGATGACCCCCTATTGCCCTGTAGCATCCGTGTTCCCTTTTTGTATGCTGGCTTCCCCACCGCAAATGGTCAGCCACAGAAAGGACTTCCCTTTCTACCAGGGTCACTGGGCAAGTCTGGAACGGTGCCTGGGCCAAAGCTGGTGCAGGCCCACCTGCCTCCAAGATGGCGGCATTTTTAATATGCACTCCTGCCCACCTGAAGGCGGGAGTCCGTTTCATCAAGTGGATGACCCCTAAGAAAGTCGCCAGAGATCGACATCAAGCCGTGCTGAGGGCTTGGAATGGCGATATGGCGAGACGCCAGCGTCAGGCCAAGGGGACGCACACCAGAAAGCGCTCAAAATTTAAGGTCTGGGTTTAGCCTTCCTTTACAAGCAACATGAAAGAAAGCCCAGACCCCCAGAGCCCACTGCCAATACAGTGCCATTATATGAAGATGTCAGGCCAATAAAGCTGCCATTGGCTCAGAGCTCCAAAGTCCCTGATGCAAGCTCTTTCCCCGCGTAGGTCCCCAGTTGCTACTTTTTGTCACGCGTCGGTGTCGATGTGCAGGGTTAATGATGGAGAGATAGCGACCACAGGAGCGGTTAGTCGGTTAGTCCTTTCCTTCCTTAGCGCTCTCCTGTCTATTAAATCCGGGACTACCGAAAGGCGGGAGGGATAAGAGATAGACAGGACAAAAAGAGCGTAGGAAGGCAGGGGACAGAGAGAGCGTAGGAAGGCAGGTGCATGGAGATACTTTATTGATGAGTCGCCTTCCGGATTCTTTGCTAGGGGGGTCAACACCCCGTTCCCCTCTTTTGGTTGTTGTTTGTTAGTGTGTGTTTGCAGGCAGGGACCGTCAAGCGTTTCTGGAAGATCACTCCAGTAGCCGGTTGAAGATCGCATGCACTCATCCACCAGAGGGAAAACCTGTTTCCCAACAGAAACTCGCAACCGGGAGACATGGTTGTTGTTGGGAAACATTGTTCTTTTTTGCTTGTTGTGGTTTAGTGGCTGAAATCCAACCACTTAACCGCTAAAAAATAGTTTTTTGCTGCCCTTCCAACGTCAACCAAGGAGATGCTGGAAAAGTCATTTGGGACAGGCCCCAAGCATTCCGAGAGCCAGGATGGCGCCAACCGCGACAACCTCATCCGCTTGAGGCCGGCACCGCGGCACCCGCCAGATGCCTTTTAGAGGAAAAGGTCTTCCGCACCGAGCAGAGAGGGAGAGAACCAAAGAGAGTGGCAGAGATACCCTGGTGTCGGTTGTCAACATGATGTTGAGAGATTCTTTTCGGAGGGATGGTGTTTACAGGTTTGGAGTGGAGGAGATTCTGCTGCGTGTATTGGTTGTCAAAAGTATTCTTTCGGAGGGATGATGTTGATAGTTGGGGCAGGTGTATGCCTTTGGGCTGAGCACAGCACTGGGCCGCTGGGTCAGCCGAATTTCAATGCCAAGCCCAGGATGCCATGACTTGGTCCTCCAGCTAGGTGCCCTTTTACCGTTTCTTTTTTGGGAGAGGGTGCCCCTACTGATAGACTACAGAAAAAAGGGAACCCTTATTTCACCCTCTCTGCTGGAGGACCTAGATGAGGGGACCCATGTCAATTGAATTGACCCGGAGGTACAACCTTGCCCGTGCCCTTCATCGTTCAGATCGCTGGGCGGAGGACGGGCACCACAGCCTGATGGCCGCGAGTGTTGTTGTGTTCCTCTGGGAGATTTTGTTGCAAGCAGAGAAGCCAAAGAGGATGGGTATACTTGATTTTCCAGACGCCCAAGAGTATGGGAATTTGGTGAAATGTCCAGACCCCCCATCAAAAATCCCCAGTTTTGCTCAGACCAGTTTGCTAAAGATGCTGACACGCCGCGCAACCGGCAGGCCCGGGACGAGGCGACGGCTGTCCTGGCCATCGATCGCGCTAAGCTTAGCTTCGCCCAGGCTTGCTCCGACTAGGTCCCAAGAATGACCAGGTCCCCCAGTAATGCCCTTTCACTCTTTTTGGGGGGAGGGTTCCCCCCTAAAATACAAATCTAACCTCTCTACTGGAAGATCTAGTTTTGTTGTTCCCACTTCAAGTGGTCCAGATGTTGCCCTTGGTGGGTGTTTTAGCTCCGGTCGTTCCCTTTTTGTGAGGAACCTCTCTACCGGGGGACCTTGACCAAAGCCCACGGCCTTGCCGAAAGCCTTTGCGCCGAAATCCTTTGCGCCGGGGTCTCCGAAGCAACCCCAGCCCGGCGCAGTGTGTGAGCAAGTTTGCATTCAGCATGGTGGTTGTTGGGAAACAGGTGGGTCTGGGTCAAACTTAAACCACCAGGGGACCGCAGGTTTAGTCCTTGTTTCCATTTACTAGGGTTCCATTTGGGGTACCCATTTTCGGCCCACACCCATTTTACATTTTTGCTTATTGTGGTTTGGTGGTTGAAATCCAACCACTTAACTGCTAACAAGTAAATGTTTGCTCCCTTCCAACGTCGACCAAGTCAGCTGCACAAGCGGATCTTGCCCAAAGCACCTGGTGACCAAGGCGAGTACATGAACGCTTATGCCCTACGAGCCCAGGCAGAGTGCAGAAGTGCAGAAGCACGTGGGTATTTCGGCCAAGAAACGATGACCGGCAATGATATTCAAGAGCAGAACCCTCAGGGTGCTGAATTGGAAGGTCTCCAAAACATAGCGCAGATATCTTGCAATCCTATTCATCCACAGGTTGACAATCTGGCAATCTCAGGAAAGAAGAGGATTAGAGCTGCCAATCCGCAAAGGAAGCGCAATGTCAGCAGACTTGTTGTCCGTTTCTTGCTGGATGATTGATTGGACATGTCACCTTTTGACCAAGTGTAGATTGCAGCCAACCCTGGGAAATGTGGTAGCCCCACACCAACGGGCTTTGCCTACCAGATTCTGACAGGTTTTTAATTCATTGCCCTTTCACCCAAATCACTCCATGCTGGGAGGGCGGGGCACGATTCGCAGCTGGTAAAGACCCTCCCAGACTTCGGAAACCAAATAGTGTGTGCAACGTGCACCTCCAAACCCCACAGACAAAAGCATGGCAAATGTCTCATGAGACTCCAGCCCTCGCACCAAACAGCTGGGGATCTGGGTTTTGCTAAGAGTGGCTTGTAGCACAGGGCGATGAATGTCCCATCAGTGGAGGAAGACGAATGCCCCTCGCAGTGGGCCCTTACTTGCAGTCAATGGAGCAAGGAACAAGTACGTACCCCTTCAACCCCCTTCATACTTTATGCCGCTTCCTTATGACATGTCGCCCATTTGACCTGTCGCAGCTCTTGACATGTCGCCAGTGCGTTGATTTTGACCAACCCTGGCATTGCAGAAGTGGTTTTTTCCCAAGGAACATCCCCTTCGGCATGCGTCGCAACGACAGGGCCCTTCGGCTTTCACGAGCTCAGTTGGACCCTTTTCCCACTTTTCCCACTCGCTCGGGTGGTGTGATGCCGTTTCCCCTGCACTGATGACTCCCGAAAAGAACGGAAAAATGTTAGTTTATTTAAAAAAAAAAAAAAAAAAAAAAAAAAAACGCCACACCGTAGCTTGCCCCGGAAAACCCCCAAACCAGCGATCCAAACCCAAAAGACCCGACAAAGTGCCTCTTTACCCCATACCCCAAAGATTCGGGTTGAGGTGTCCTTTTTCTCCGGCAAGTAGAACCCCTGGCTATGAAGCCAACATCCCAGCGACAGCTGAGCTGTCCGGTTTCCGGCGAAGCCCTGAGCTGAACGCCTCAAACGGCGCCATTGGCCGGCGATGCGCGCGCAGGCGGCCATGTCAGCGCTGGAGTGGGACGCTGCGAAGGCGGATTGGGACAAGTTGGCGCTGCTGGCCGAGCGAGGCGGGGGGGGGGGGGGGCGAGTCTGATGTTGACAGCCCTTGCTTTGTGGGTCAACCGGACAAAACACATTTCCAATATTTTAAGGCTCCGTTGTCACAAGCTGGATAGCTGAAGTGTGGGAAAGTCGCAATCGTGAATTAGGTTTGGCTTTCTTGTTGTTTTGTACCAGGTGTTGACTTGTTACAGCCCTTGTTTATGGGTCAACCCGGGTCATAGCAGTTGAATCATTCACACTTACCCTATCTTAAACACTTACGGAATGAAGCGCAACCAAGCTTCAAGTTGAGCCTGTTTCCGTCGTGGAATGCAGTTTAAAGGGATGACGGGATGCGGGGACAAGGAAATCCAAACAGGGAATCGCTCACAGGTCTACTCACAAGTTTGCAGTGATGTCCAATCATGGGTTTCCTTAGGTCCTGCACTTCAACAGCTTGTTGTGGGCTTAATGTTTTTCCTGTTTGCCCCACTCTCTCTCTCTCTCTCTCTGACATGCGTCTCCTTCACCCTTCACAATTGCAGCACCCTAGTAAATACTGATGGCTGCATACTTGGAATTCAAGGGATCCTGGTTTTGGCTTCATCCAGCCTTTACGCAAAACACATGAAGCCAGGGTCAGGGATGACAAAGGTAGACGCTGCTCACCCAGGAGTGTTGTTTGGAATTAGGTTTGTGAAACAAAGGAGGCCACACCGTATCGAATCAACCATGAGGAGTCCCTAGTTTCATGGCACCCCCCAATAAAGCTAAACATGAACCAATTCAAAACCACCGAATGGAGACTGATGCTGCTAGAAGGGAACTTGGTCTTGCAGGGGTAGTAAGGAGGAGGGCAATAGGTTGGTGAAGGCGCCTTGGACCCCCCCCAAAAATAATAATAATGATAATGAGCAAAATCATGGCTTTCTGAAAAATGGGAACATATCTTATGAAAGCCTACTTGGGCTTGATAAGGGCTATTCATAGCTAGCACCACCTGCTTTGCAGCAGAAATTAATGTTGCACAGTATCCAAAAATAAGCCTAAATGAGCTGATTCTGGTTTTGTTTTTGGGCGTGAAGCAAGTTTTACCTCCACGCAAGCAAAGAAGGCCAGGGTAAGCTTGTGAAAGTTTATTTTTGCGGACTTAGCCCAGTCATTCCTTTCTGGGGCCTTTCTTGCGCATCGTTTGACGGCTCGCCCGGCTTGCCGTGCATACTTCATGAACGGCGATGCCAAGATCAGAATCTGAAAAGTGCCGGTTGGAGAGGCAGAAAGAAAATTCTGTAGTCGCAAGACATTCATTGAATCCGAGGATGGATACGCAGAAGCCAAATGCTGCCAGTTTGAGTTTGCGTATTGCAATAATTCAGAAACTGCGCATTTCAGAACAAGTACAAAAATATGGCCAAATTTTGGCCAGAGGCCAAAAAAAAGGCAACTTGAAGCTATTTGTGCGGAAAAAAAAGGGGGAAAAACACCGTTGAAGCCAAATAAATGCAAGCTAAGGCCGGATTGAGGCCAGATGAAGGTCAGAATGATGCCAATGAAGGCCGAATTCAGGCCAAAAGAAGGGCGCAATTGACGCTACTTGCCCAACAACGCAAAATTAGAGCTGCATTAAGGCCAGCTTCACGCAAAACATCAGGTTGTTGTGGTTTCTGGGGGCCTCTAGCTGGGTAAACGGTTGCGCTGCGCTGGTTTGCTCGCCAAAAAGGAGCCCTTGCCAAACCCGCGGCACCTTCAGAAGCCCAATTCTGGCCCACCCGTGTCCGGCAGATCCAACTGTATTGGTCCTGGACTTTAGTCACTTTTCGGGTTTGGACCAGTTGAATGGTACAAAAATGCAACAAAGTTCCTGGACTTGAGTCACTTTTCGGGTTTGAATGGCGAAAAATGCAAAGTTAACCTGGACCTTTGTTTGGGGCCATGCCCTCAAGGAAGGAGTGGTTCTTGGTCTGCCAGGCGGCAGCGCCTCGGTGGGCGCGGAAGTGCTGCGAGCCTGGCGCAGGCGCGGCAGCGGCTCGGGAGTTTGGTCTCACTTCCTCAGTTCACGAACTTTAAACTTTTTGGGAAGACCAATTTACTTCCCCAGAATGAGTTCCCCTTTTCTTTTTTTTCTTTTTTTGCTTTTTTGGGGTCCCCTTTGTTTTCCCACTGTCCTAATTCCAGCCAAGTTTACTGGTAAATATAAAGTTTGAACCTTGTTTTGGGCCATCCACTCAGCAAGTGAGTGGTGCGGATTCGCAAAGGGAACATGGGAGGTTTTGGTGGTGGAAGCCTTGCGTCGCTTTGGAGCGGGCTACTAGTCCCCTGTATGTACATGACAATAGCAGCCTGTGGTGGAAACTGAAACCCTGGTGATTTGCCAAACTTACCGTGCCTGTGTGGTTGGAGGTGGCTTTCTTGCGCTTGCAAGTATGGAAGCGCGGAGGGGCCCTTTTGGAGACTATACGTTTGCAAGAGTGGCTGCTCCGCATCGCCATGCAAGGCGGAAGGAGGAATGCTGCCGACAGCTAGCGCAGGAGCCGGCAGCGAGTGGTTCTGATTCTCGACTTTGCCGGATGTTCAGCCGTTGTTTCGGCCACCTGATCTTCGTCAAAGTGATCGACAAGTGCAAAACAGCTTAGTAAAAGTTCTTGTCTTGCCACTCAGGATCATTTCCTTTGGGGACATGGCTGCTCCGGCTTCCGCCCCCCTACACCGCATGCTTCGAGCTGAAGTTCGATCAGACATCTTGCAGCAGGTTGTTCACATTTGGGAAGCCAACACAATGCAAGAGCCAGAGAAATGGATGCGATCTTGAGATTTCGACATTTGTACCAAGTGCAAAGCCATTGACAGACTTGAGGGGATCATGGGATTTGCGGATTTCGGCGCATCCTACTGTGGATGGACGAACTCCTGCACCACCTTTCAGAAATCCTGGACTGATGATTCCCCTGTAAATACCAACGAACAATGGTTTCCCATGGATTCAAAGTGGTGCGAAATGGATTTTGTCCCTTCCACAGTATGCACTTTGAAACCATGGTTGAAACCATGTTATCTGGTTATTTACAGGGGAATGATCATTCGAGGGTTTCTGAAAGGTGGTGCGAAATGGCTTTCGTACATCCACAGATATGACCTACCCTGGTCCCTGGACCCCGGTCAGGACCACTACGACGCCCTGGGCCTACCACGGCTGGCGTCACAGGAGGAGGTGAGGAAGGCGTACCGGGAGCTGGCGAAGCGCTGGCACCCGGACAAGCACCAAAGCAGGCGACCGGAGGGGAGCTCGGTCGGGAGCTCGCATCCCTTACTGCACGGTCCTAAATGGACCTGGCAACATCTTTTTTCGACCCTAAAAATTGTATTTTCACGAAAGCTAGCTTTAGCTAGCTGAAGTTTCTCCTTGCGTAAGCAAGGTAAGGGGCTCAAATGCCGAAAGATTGATTTTTTCAATTATTTGAGCCGAAAAGATTGAAAAACATCAATTATTTAGACCCCCCCCCCTCCCCCCCTCCCCCCCGGTCTCAGGCTCGATTCCTCCCTGGTCCATCCCCCCCCCCCCCCGCAGTGGCTCAGTGTTCAGCAGTCTCGGTTTGCCCGTTTTGGACTTGGTGCTACGAACTTTTACATGTTCCACCGATTCAGCTTGTTCATTTGAGACCTCAGTCTTCTCGGTAAACCACCTCGCAAGAATCTTTGCACACGCAGCATGCAGAACCCAGAGGTGCTTTAAGACAGCTTCTGACGCCTCTCGTTGTTTTCATTTTTCAAGGTTTGCCACGCCACCATGTCCGTTTGCGTGTCTCATCCTACGAATCTTGCCAGGCCTCTCGTTGTACACAAGCTACCTATGAATCCACTCTGTCACCGACCCATCTCATGCAACAACTGCTAGCTTTCACCCGCTCCTCAAGTTGACCATATTATTGGGAAAGCCCATGTAAACAAAAAAACAAAAACATGAGTTGTTGTTCCAGATGCTTCTTCTTTTGACCTGACCCCCCTGCAGATTCACATTCCAAGGATGGGTGCAAGAAGGACTTTTCAGCTGGGGAATACCAAAACCTGGGTGCTATGTGGACTAAGTAGCTTGGAGCCCAGAAGTGAAATTGACGGAGGGCGATTCCCTGGAACTTGGTTTCTCGCTTTTGCGAAGACTGATTAGGGACCCCCCCCAATCCCCCCCACCCCCCAGCCGATGGAATGCTGAAGGTTGTGGGTTTCGAACATAGGCCACCTCAAGATTGGTTTGCAACGTGAAGGCAAGGCTCCTCACTTGGGCGTTCCTTGGTGTGTGAATGAATGTTTTCTCCGTAACGGACAGTTTGATGTCGCAGAAGAGTGGCATTCGGGAAAAAGGGTCGAGGCTAAAGGCATCGGAGCAAGGCGCTTATGGTTATTCAATGGTGGCCGGGCCGAGCCAGTCGGCCGGAAGTAGTGTGTATTAGTGGGCGCCGTACTTACGGAGGTGAGGCGCATGAGGATAGGTCGGGACCAGTTCTGTCCGGCTTCCCTTTGCGAGGCACTTGAATTCCTCAGACTTGTTGTAACAGTACAAATGCTACAAATTATGAGTTGGCTCTTAAAGCTTGTTCCATTCACAACTTCATTCAGCTGGTCATTTGCCAGAGAACCTTTAAAAATAAAGGATGCAAACAAAGAACCTAGTTTTGAGCCTGTTGCTTACCGAAAGCAGGGTTTTCCAACCGAAAACCCGGTTTGTACTTTTAAAAACCGTACAAAAACCATACAAAACCCGTACAAAACCCGTACGTTTGTATGCTTTTCATAAAAACCGGGTTTTCCCGCGAAGAGCCCCTCTACCCGCCAGAACGGCGCGAACCATCCTTGCAACCCTGAATAAAGCAGCTTCCTTCCGAACCTTTCCTGTGGGGAGTCCAATTTGGTTTTCCAAGACCAACCAACAGCACGGTTCCCTTTGGAGGAGAAGGTCTTGTTTGACTGCTTTTCCCCCCAACACCAAAATTGCGCGGAAATCCAATTTTTGCTTAGTTGGTTTTCCCCAAGACCAAAATTGCGCAACCAACAGCACGGTGAAGGCCCCAAGGCAGGAGACACCCACGACTTCGGCGAGTCCCCCGGCCTCGCGGCTCAGGGGCGCGGACCTGCGTCAGCGCGCGGCCAGGCGCTTTCAGCGCATACGCCAGGCATATGAGGCGGGGCGGCGGCGGGTGTTTTGGAGCGCGGAGGATGGCTGACGGCAAGGTGACGGTTTCTTTCGGGAAAAAAGGGAGCCAAGTGCACATGGGTTCAGAAAAAATAGGAGTCGGAAGCCCCTAACATGCGAAAGGTGTCCGTTTGGTTTGCCTTTAAAACCATCCAAAATAGGGGTCCCAAAAAAGACAGACCCACAAGTCGTTTTTCATACCCCATAAGGTTCACGTTGTGTTTATGATGGTCTTTAACAGTGAGGCTTATGCATGCAATTAAGGCTATCCCTTGCATGGTATACGTAGTTTGGATTGGTGAGCATGGGTTGGATGGGGCACGCAGATGCCCTTCTAAGCTGGAAAGCTGATCTACTCCATGAGCCAAACATGAACCACCTATGGAGTAGCTAGTTTGAGAATTGAGAAATTTGGTTGTACCCTTGACCACCATGCAATGATGGAAGCTCCAGACCAACCGTCCCTCAAATGGCTGTGGGTCAAAACCAATGGTACCATTTTGGGGTAGGTATGCCACCTATTTTAGTCTATTTTAATGGGGATTGGGATGTTCACTGGGGTAGGGGTTTTGACCCATGGCCACCAAATCGTCTCCCAAGTGATGCTTGGTGGTTGGGGGCACGCTCCAAAGACTCAGAGAGTAGGTGTGAAGGAAGATCAGTGAAAGTAAGTTTGCTATTACCTTGGCGTGACATGACCATGACAACCGGTAGTTTAGGCTTTTAGGGTTTAGTGGTAGTTTCCATTTAGCCCACTAAAAGTTAAACTTTTAGCAGGGGACTGAAGGGCAGCCCAGGTAGCGATTCATGAATCAGTAGATTGTACAAAAAGGTCGTCCCAGAAATAGTCCCTCGCTTTGAGGAAGAAAAAAACGGGTAGGAAATCGGACAGATTGTTGAGGTGGCAACAACTCTGCAGCCAGTTCGGAATTATTAAACCGGACCGGTTGTAATCAAAAGTTAGCCAATACCAAGTTGAAAGCAATACTATAGCAATACTCGAACAATACAGTAGTTTCAAAATACTATGCCACCCATGAGGCCAGCAAAACCAACTGAGGCCCCTAACAGCTAAAATATATTTAACTAAACAGCTTCCAAGACAAATCTTAATGGGGGTAAATTTTAATGAGGTGGTACAGGGATGCTCCGGAAAGGGAATACTGAATACTGACACATGTCTAAGGGTAGGAAATAGAGAACCCAGCAATTGCAAAAGTAAACTCAACCAATAGCCAATTCTAAACAGCACTGGGCCAGTTCAAACCAATCTTAAACCACTTCTAGACCGCCGCGAAGCGAAGCTTGCTTCGCTTCGCAGTTGACGCCTTGCTTGGCTGACAATTTGGCAAGACAACTGTGGAAATCCAGGCTTTGCGTGCGGGTCAGCGCTGGCCGTTGAATGCGGGCTTGCGATTTTCAGCCAAGAAATGCAGGGGGCCCTTGCTTGGCGAACTGTTTCTTGTTTCTTCTTTGGATAAAGGAGTCTACAAAGCAAAAGTCTATCTCTGGTTCTTCCCACGCCCTTTTCGCTCTTGCCAGGTGCTCAGCGACGAGGACAGCCGTGCGCGACGTTGGAATTGGTACGGAGTTGGTGCCAAACGCTGGGAGAAACGAAGGCCCAGGCGACCACGACCCAGCGAGTGTTCCTCTAGGGGTTGATTCCTTTTCATTCTTTTCAACCTTCGTTCTTTTCAGAAACCGGATCCGTTTCCCCTGGGTTTTTGATGGTTTCCTGAAAAGATTCGGATCCCTGAAGAATAGGGAAGGTACCCCTAGAACTTACACTACAGTCTTACCAGTTGCCAGTCGGAGGCGCTGAAGCACGCCTATGACACTGAGCTCCTCCTGCTAGAAGCACCTCGCCAGGAGCGGATGGGGCTTCGAATCGCATGGGTGGAAGGCTGTGACGATGCTGCTAGGTCCCCCAGCTAGGTGCCCTTTTACCAACTTTGTTGGGGGAGGGTTCCCCTACTAAAATAGACTACAGGAAAAAGGGTACCCTTATTCTAACCTCTCTACTGGACCTAGGGGTCCGACGCAGAGCTCTGGGCCACTGGCATGGCCACTAGGACACCAACCGAAACCAACGGAGACCCGGCAATGAGAAGGGTTCCTGGCTTTGACACCGCCAAAGAGCGCAAGTGAGCGAGGAACTGCCCGTACCAAGCAGCGTCCTTGGCGCACGGTTTTCCCGTAGGAGTCTGGGAAGGTTGAATGTTGGTGAGTGGGGGATGGGTTGGAGAAAGTGTCCACCTTGCTGCCTGGCCACTGGCTGTTAGCCCATCATCCTGCAGCCGGATCGAGAATTACATGGGTACCAAGAACATGGCGGATTCATGGATGGTGTTTCCCCAAAGAGTGAAGGAAGCCCCTGTGCAATGGGACGCCCGCTGTTTTCACCGACAGTGGGTTTGTAAATCCGGGGTGCAAGCGTTTTGTAAGCACACCTGCGTTTTTCGAGGATCAGCAGATCTCCCAATCGGTTGGCCTAGCGAATACCCTGCTTACACAGGGTTGCGGCTTTGCGGTGTTTGCAAACTCGGTTTGTGTGTTTCCTTGCTCCCAGGATTGACATTTTTTCTCTCTCTCTCTCTCTCTCTCTCTCTTTCTCTCTGTTACATAGCATCTTTGCAAGCGCCAGCTTTGCACCATGCAGAGCACCATGCCAATCAGAGGTGGTTCTCCCTTCCTCGGATTGGCACGATCTGAAGTTACCTTGCGGCGCTTGTGGGGGCCGTCCTATTGACCCCGAAGTAGTAAACAAGTATACGCTAGTAAACCTTGCAGACGTGAAAGGTCGCTCTTAAATGCCCCTCCCCCCGGCCGTGGTTTCAAAACCCGACAGGCCCGGCCAACGGCCTCTATGTCCTCCCGCCGAGGCGGCTTCGCATCTTGAGACGGCTGAACGTTCCTCAGATGGCCTTCAAAACCCTTTTCGTTTGGTGGGTCGCCCGCAAGAGTGGAATGAACCAACAAGAGTGGGGCTCCCTTGTCTGTTGAAACATCATGTTGCCGGTGTGGTTGAATTGAATGAAGCCTTTGGAGTCAAAAAAACTGTTGCAGCTGGGGTTGGAGCTCAAGTGCATACGCCATTGCCAATTGGATGCCCAAAGCCGCAGGCAAATGAATGCCAATGCGCAGCAAGCTCCACGGGTCCCAAGATTCCGTGGGCAGACTGAAGCATCCTTCCTATGATTCACTGGCTTCTTTTTTTGTTTTTCTTTTTTTCCCCAACAGCTGAAAGTTTTGGGGTCTCAGCCCAGATAGGCTCCGGGGTGGTCCGGGGCGGCCCTGAGGTAAGGTTCCACGAGGGTTCCACCAGGGTTCCACGAGTTTCTGCGAGGTTCTGCGAGGGCTGCGGGGTGGTGCGAGCACTAAAACGAGCACCGCATGCTGTTGGGGATATCACCTGAGCTTATTTTTTCTTTCGGCACTTTGGCACGCTGTCCTCACCTCCAGCCAGACCATGGATGCAATTTGAAGCCCAGCACCCCCCCCCAACATCCCACGGCCTGAACAGATAAAGGCCTAGCGGGTTGGGTTCACCTGTCCACTGTGCAGCACATTTTGCTGGCGCAAACAGTCTCACTGATCTTTGACTGTTTGACCCATTTTCAGCCAGGCTGATCCTAGAGCGCGCAAGTGGCAGCTTCAACAAAGCAAGCTGCAGCATTCCCAGTTCAATTTGGGGGAGTTTTCAATTGACCCTCACACGTACCTTTTCTCAGGTTGGCTCTCCTGCAGGTACGGCGGGTACCCACATAGTTGCGGGTATAAGGAACATCCTGTAATTTGCGATGGCTTGTGGTTGGCTTAACTGGCAGTTTACACAGAGCTAGGCGTACTTCTTCGCAAGAATATCCTTGACTTCAAGGCTCCATCGCACTGGGCTGGAACTTGCAGGCTCGTTCTCCGACATTTTTGTGGACGGCCTCTAGCTTCACCGTTCCTTTCTCCGCTTCGCGTGTGCACCTCAGCAAGGCTTCTGGCAGCTGGGGATGGTGACACCTCCGATCCCAACTAAATGATGCGAGACCCTTCAGTGCGCAAAAAACCTGCAGCACCCTCTTGACAACATGCGTCACATCAACGCATAGCGATTCTGGCAGATGAATGACTTTGCAGGCAGCAAGGCTTTTGATGGCTCCAGCCGGGCGGGAAGCAAAGGACACGCTGAGCACTTCAGGAAGGGTTAGGCATGACATGTTGTCACGACCTGAGCCGCCTTTATCCAGGTCCCCCAGTTCCCTTTTAGCCTTTTTTGTTGGGGCAAGGGTTCCCCTACTAAAATCGACTACAGAGAAAAGGGCCTTAAGGGCACCCGTATTCTAACCTCTCTACCGGAGGACCTAGGTGTTGCTACCCTCGCAAGAGTCATGGAAGCTGACAGGAGGGTTTGGGAAGACGACCTTCCTTGTGCAAAGTCCCTGTCCACGTCCATGATAGGGGGGTAGAGGTACGAGCCTTGCGATCGTGTAGTTTCACGAGTCTGGCCAAGGCCCACTTGGCGTATCTCGTTCAACCTGAGAAGCCGGCGTGGTAGAACGGGATTGGAATTGGAGGAGAGAGGGAGCTGCTGCTTTCCTCATCCACTAGCCCTCTTAGCGAAATTGATCTGTATAGGTCGTTGAATTCAGCGGCTGAGATTTAGCCCGCTGCCAACTATGACTGGACGCATCTGGACGCCAACAAAGCAAAATGATCATTTCATAAAACCTTGTCCAATATACACCCCTGGTGAATCCCGAAAGATGGCTTGAAAGAGGCTTTGCTTGAGGTTTGGGCCAGAGAAACGAGAGACACAATGAGGATGGATTCGTCCGTAAGGCAGAGGCAGATATGGCGGTTTATGTGGACGAATCCATTCCCTCTTTTCCCTATCAATAGTTGATGATGAGTGCATAGGTGTGTGAATGCCACTCTCAAACATCCCTTCGTGCCTCACAGAGAAGACTGAGCACGGTATGA